TGGGCCGTACCATTCAACTCAAACATTCTGGCTCCCAGCTCTCCTCTCCCCAGGTGTCTTTTTTTTTTTTTAATGATGCTGGGGATGGAATCCCGGGCCACACACATGCTGGGTCAGCACTCTCATTGAGCCTTACCTCTGCCCTGCCGTCCAGTTTTTATCTGGAGGGTACTGGGGAGACCAGGCTCCTGAGCAGGTGAGTGAAGTGACCTCGTTTATAATTAATGGCGCTGACTCAAACCAGGGGAGAAGAGACTGCTTGGTGGAGACAGAGAGTGAGCAAGGCTTTGGGGCCACCTCCAGGCAGGGGTGCAACATTTGGTCCCCAAGTGTAACCCTCCCACCCCTGCAGGCCCTGTGCACCAAAGTGCCCGAGCTAATCAGAACCATCATGGGTTGGACGCTGGACTTCCTCCGAGAGCGGCTGCTTGTCTGGATCCAAGACCAGGGTGGCTGGGTGAGACCCCTCAGTCCCTGCCACGCCTCAGATCTGAGGGTCACCATCATGGTGCCCCAGGCCATCAGATGTGTTAAGATGTGTGTCCTCACCTCTGTCTGCCTGATGCATCTGGTACCCACTGTAACCTGACTTGGTTGGTGCATCTGGTGCTTCCTCTTCTGCAGTTGATCAGGTTCATTGATGACCCTTTGACCCCAGCTTTTTTTTTAATGATTTTTTATTTTTTTAAAGATGGTCTGAAGCCAGGTATGGTGGTGCACACCTTTAATCCCAACACTTGGGAGGCAGAGGCAGGCAGTTGGGTGTGATTTTGAGGCTAGCCTTGTCTACATAGCCAGTTCCAGGCCAGCTGGGGCCATAGGGAGACCCTGTCTCAAAAAGACAGACAGACGGATGGATGGATGGATGGATGACAGATAAATTTAAAGAAAATTTAAAAACATGGTCTGCTGTAGCCCAAGCTGGCATCACAGTCACTAGAGTAGCTGAAGGTGACATTCTGTCTCCACTGTGCCTAGCTTAAGACGTGTTGGGGATAGACCCTAGCTAGGGTCTTGTGCGTGCTAAGTAAGCACTCTACTAAAGTGTGTCCCCTGTCCTTTTTCATTATTTTGAGACAAGGTCATGCTGTGTAGCCCAAGGCTGGTCTAGAATTTGTTAGTGGCCCAAACATGCAATCCTCTAGGCTTGGTCTCTCAAGTGCCGGGATTAAAGGTATGGTCCACTTTTAGACCACATCATGGGTTTTTGGGTTGTTTTGGTGGTAGGTATGGTTATTTTTTAAATTATTTTGCATGTATGTGTATGTGCATGCATGTGGGCACATGAGCCATGGCATGTGTGTGGAGCTCAGAGGACAACTTGCAGGAGTCAGTATATGTCCTGGGGATTGAACTCGCCTTGGCAGCACACACCTTTACCTCCTGAGCCATCTTGCTAGCCTATGCTTTGTTTTTGATTTTTTGTGTGTGGGGATTTTTTTGTTGTTTTGTTATTTGAGACACGGTCTCACTATGTAGCTCTGGCTGGCCTGGAACTCTATGTAGACCTTGAACTCACAGAGATCTGCCTGCCTCTGCTTTCTGAATGCTAGAATTAAAGGGAAGTGCCCCCATGCTTAGCATGTTTTAGGTTTTTTTTTCAGATTTTACTTTTTTTCCCAAGACAGGGTCTCCTTGTTAGCCCCAGCTGGCCTGAAACTCACTAGACCAGGCTGGCCTCAAACTCCCAGAGATCCACCTGCCTCTGCTTCCCAAGTGCTAGGATTAGATTTTACTTTTTTTTTTTTTTAAATGTATTTTTGAGACAGGGTCTCCCTGTAGCTCCAGCTATCCTGGAACTCACTAGACCAGGCTGGCCTAGAACTCATAAAATCTGCCTGCCTCTGCTTCCCAAGTGCTGGGATTAAAGGCGTGCGCCACCACGCCCAGCAGATTTTTCTTTTTATTAGTATTTTATGTGTGTGAGTGTTTTTGTTTGCATTAAGTACACCATGCACGTTCAGTGCCCAAGGAGGCTAGAAGAAGTCATCAGATTCCCTGGAACATGAGTTATAGATGATTGTTAGCTGCCATGTGGGCAGTGGGAACTGAACCCAGGTCCTCTGCAAGAGCAGCCAGTGCTCTTAACCACTGAGCCATCTGTCCAACTATATGTTTTTTGGTTGGTTGGTTGGTTGGGTTTTGTTGTTTTGTTTTGTTTTTTGAGACAAGGTCTCAATGTGGCATGGAACTCACTGTGTAGACCAGACTGACTGACCTCAGTCTCCCAGAGATCCATCTGCCTCTGCCTCTGCCGGCGTTAAGGGCAGTCGCCAGCATGCCCACACCCAGCTTGTTTCTCACTGTTTTCCTGCCAGGCTGGTCTTGGAACCCTCCTGTCTTAGCCTCCTGAGGAGATACTGCAGGCCTGGGATCTCTTTAGCATCTCTTGATACGAGACTCCTGCCTCCCACTCATTTTCTCTGTCCTCTTCTGTCCCTGACCCCATGTGTGTCACCCCTAACCCCCATTGTGGAGTTGCTGAAATAACAGTCATGTCTCTGTCCCCAGGATGGCCTCCTCTCCTACTTCGGGACCCCTACGTGGCAGACGGTGACCATCTTCGTGGCTGGAGTCCTCACTGCCTCACTCACCATCTGGAAGAATATGGGCTGAGGCCTCCCTCTGCCTTGGACTATGTCTTTTCTTCATAAATTATGTCATTTTTCTGGGATGAATGGGGACTGGGGACAGGCATTTTTCTTACTTTTGTAATTATTGGGAGGGGTGGGAACTGTGGCCTGGGGGCAGGGACAATAAACCTCAGGTCCACTTTGGAGTGTCAGTGTGGTCCAGTGGCCTCCCAGCTGACCATTATGAGCACAGGCTCCCCAGACCCACTGTCGGGACAAGTCCACACAGAAACTTGTAAAGCACTCCCGCCCACATGGTTTTCTGGGGTGCTCAGTGCTGTCTGGGCCCCAGGATCTGTCTCAGCAGCCCAGGATGACAAGTCCCATAAGGCTTTGCACTGGCCTCTGGGTTCCATAAGGCTGGGGATTGCATCTGATGTGCTGGCCTCCTTGGCCCCCGGAAAGGGCCTGGAACCTGCAGAACTGGAGCCCAGAAGGTGCCGGTCAGGACTGTAGGGAGGTGGGAGGAGCCACAGCTCCCAATGCTGCAGGAAGTCCCTAGGAAGCTGGCTGGGATCAGAAGGCCCAAGGAAGGGATGTGACCCTGTGATGTGGCCCTTGTAGACTAGGGACATAGCTAGACTGTTTGGTCTATGATGAGCTTGGTGTGGACTGCCAGAGGCACCAAGAGTGAACACAAAGGGCTTGGGGAGAGAGTGCTTGGACTCAGTCCTTGAACCCTGGTCCCCTCTATGGGCTCTCATGGTAACCCTTACCAGGCCTTAAGGGTCTTCTGCCCCCACCCTGTGGTTGTGCCCATCTACTTTGTGAACTTGAGCCCAGAGGCCAAAGGTCAGTCCAGTTGCTGTGGTTAATGAGTACCTCCCTCCCACCCCACAATCAACTGAGCACCACAATCCACAGCACCCACCCCGGTGCCTTTCCACAGATGCCAGGTCAGGAGAAAAGGGGCGGCTACCCCCACTCCCCAGCGATGGGGCCACCTGACCACACTCTGGAGAAGTGGGTGGCTTGGAGTGGAAAACAGGCCTCGGCCCCACAGGGAGGGGGACAGCAGGCCGCAGACCCGGGTGAGGTCAGCACCCCGCCCCTCAGCCTGTTGCCAAGCTGAGCTCAGCATGACTCAGCAGTGCAGTGCAGGTCTCCTGTCCCCCACAAGGAGGGTCCCTGGCAGTACTCCAATGGGCCATTGCCTTCCCATGTTCCTGGGCAGGGTGTCCTGACTACTACTCTCCCTACATCGAGGGTGCCTGACAGGCTCCTGGGCAGAACACCTTGACTACCCTCTATGAGGGTCCCTGGCAGCACCACAAAGGTCCACTTCCCATGCTCCTGGGCTGGGCACTCGGATTACTCTCTCCAGCTGCCCCCACCACGGTCCCCCAATAGGGGCAGTTCCCTTCTTGGCCCTCTTGCCACAAGCCTCTGAGGTCCAGAACCTGGTGGGAGTCTGTCCTGACCCCAGATATAGACCTGCATGCATCAAGTTTGGCTGCACTTGCCTGTGCCTCGAGGTCTTATTTCTCAAAAACTCAAGGCTGTTCTAGATGATTCCAAAGGAGCAGCCTCCAGGAAAAGCTACCTAGAGACACCCTAAAAGCAGCCCAGAGACACCCTAAAAGCACCACTTGTTTCTGAACATATCTCTGTTTCCAGAAAAACAGTGCCCCTGAAATAAGCATCACGAGACCCAGACAGGTCATCCTGGGCTCCAAAGGGCTGTCTGGGAATTCACGTGTCACCCTACCTATCCAGAGACACAACATGTATGTGTACACTCACATGAACCCCAAAGCCCCCCTAACTGCCTTTTCCATCCTGCAGACCACCTCAAGGACTCCCCTGGAAGGTCCACAAAAATACAGACTTTTCCATCATGAAGCTGATGCCCTAGAACTCTGGGTTCCCCGCCCAGCCTTCAAAGGATTCCTAGGGTCCCCCAAATGCCAAGCTTTCACCCCTTCAACATGAGGAGCAACTCGGGTACACGGATGAGTGTTCACACTCAGCGGGCCCCCATACTATGATATTCTCAACCCTTAAAACTTTCAGGAGACACACCCGAGACCTTAAAGTATCCCTCCCCCGGGGTTCCCAGTGTCTCTCTCACATCCCTCACCTTCCAGGGAAAGACCACCCGCCCCCCCCACCCCCGCACGCCTTAGAATCCGCTGACTCCAGAGTCCATACCCTGATC